GAAGGATTTGCCGACAAGGTCAAGCAATAGAGATGTAGGCATAATTTTGTGATCGTCTTTGCTGGTTTTTTTTTATGTAGGCACTCTTAAGAAGTTTCTGTTGTCGTGTTGAAAACCAGTCACTTACTCCTTAAGATGGTTAACTTCTTGTTGCTTTGAAGCGTCCTGTTTGCTAATATCCTCATATATATTGATATCTTTCGCAAGTCGAAAAGGGGAAAATAGGCATCAGAAGCTTGCGCGTTAATTTCTCTGGATGTTCTTTTTTAGGCACGCGAAGAATTTGTCAAAAAATCAGCCTGTGTTTTACAAAATTTAAGTTGAGTTTTTGATTTTGACTATTTTCCTGAGAAACTCTTTCAAGAGAAAGATTTTATAAATTTCAAACAACAGTAACGCTAAGTGTACTGCCAATGAATGTCGAATATTTCCTTATAAGGAAACGGTTAATCTCACCATCATTTTATCCTCCTTTAGTACAGATTCTGTAAAAAAAAATGATGAATACAAACGGTTAGTTTTGGGTGCAAATATTTGACGCCCATTTCTTTACAAGTTGTTGATGATCCACTTTCGTTATTGCGCAGGAAGATTTTTTCAATCGAAGGTTAAATGTTAATTTAAATGTACAGTCTTTCAAATAAAATACTTTTATTCTAATTTCTCAAACTGTTTTTAATATTTTTAAAATATTTTATTGGCAAGAATACAGACATTTTGCATTGAATATTTATTTTAATTTTTCAAGCACTTTTTAAAAATACTCTTATAGCATTTATTGCAACGGGCAGTAAGACTGGATCACTTTCTCAATTGTCTGCGAGGCTAACACGCTCAAAAATGCGGAGAAATTATCACACATTCCTAATGATTATAACTTTATATTGCTTAGCACAACTAAAAAAAAACCGTAAACTCACTTCTGTTTTAATGGCGGTCTAGACAAGTCTGCTGGATTTTGCTCCAAACCAAGGCATTCATAGACTATTCTTATCACATAATTTCGAAGCTGTGGGTGAGGATTGAACTCATTTCCATAGTAATAGTCTGCGAGATAATATTGTTAATCATCACTCTCTTTCGCCATGCCGCTCTGTTGCATGTTAGTGCCATTCTACTCAAAAACTTGTAGAACTATTTTGTTTTGATTCTTGTATAAGTTATTGTGGTGAAAGCAACCATATCTGTCCCCCGTCATTGAACTATTCTACTATAAAAGCAATTTCGGATAAATTTACTTAAATGTAGAAATGTGTCAAATGATTTGTAGAACTGTTGCTGATAGGGTTCATGTGTTGTAGTGAACAAGAAGGGGATATTTCGAACATGTTAAATAGTTTATTAATCATAACAATTCATGTTGTTTCCATGTGAGAATGCTTATAAATTTTCTTAAACTAATGTCATTCATTTTTGTTCAATAAAAGTTTACTGCAAACCGGTAGTGCATAAAGAGTCTGATAAAAAAATGGCGTTACTTTTGCATCACCTTGTATGTGTGGCGAAGGCAAACATAGTTTTGACCCCCCCCCCCGGAACAATTCTACTATAAAAGTAATGGCCGAACCTCACAAATTACATTCAATAAAACTTCATTACAATCTTAAAGGTTCTTACTTTTTTCTTGACAATTATTGCACCATTATCTCGTCGACAATCAGATAATGAAATTAGTTTTATTTAAAAAGGAAGATAATCACTGTATACGACCATTTTTACACGAGTTAACTGTATCTGATAACGCCAATTATTTTGCCTTTCACTGCAGTAAAGCACAGATTTCGATAAATGAACGACTTTGTGCAAAATGCAGAAACATTGACTGATCCACGAAATTACTAAGATATCGCCTGCTGCTGCTGGTGTTTTTCATCGTATTTACTGCAAACCGGTAGTGTATAAAGAGTCTGATGCAATTATAATAACATTTTCATGAGTTTCGCGGTGTCGTTTTCAGTTTGCATCATTAACGCTTTTTTTTTTTTTGGTCTTGTTATTTTTTCAATGTAACGTTGAAGAAACAGTAAAGATTTTTATTTAATTTATTTGAATAAAATCCCAAGAAAACTTAATTGAATCAGAATTACAATGTCTTATTAACAGAACACAGATTCGGTAAAACAATTGTAACTTTTCCCCATGGGTTTTCTTCCGTTACAAACTCCGAACTTGACTGATATTTATAAGTGTTTTCTTTTAAGGATCTTTTCCGTTAATTCATCCCAAATAATGTAAAGTTACTTATGGCAATTATGGCATTATTCGAACTACTGTCCTCATCTTAGTCGCCATATTTATTACAACGTTTCGGCCGTTGTACGCTCCAGCCTTCTTCAGGTGGTTGGAATGTCGAACTGAAGCCTTTATTTCGCTCACTGGGATAGACTGTTCTAGTTCCACGTCTAATGGATTTCAGATATCAGTTATCTCCTGTTAATTCCCTTCACCAAGTTCTCCACCGACTTAACCAGGTATAGAACTCACACTCTTTGTGTCCTGTCACTGGATCTAGCTAACGCCTTTATCCACTGTGCCATGTGTCCTTGGGGACACATACTTATGGCAAATATTAATTCATCCCAAGAAATTATGAATTTTAAATCAAACTTTGTTTGAGTTCTATTAAATTTGGGGGTTAGGGTTACGGCTAACTGCCAAACCAATTGGTATTTGGGAGAATATACGTGAAACAAAAGAATGTTTTATGTACTGTGTACCAGATAGAATATTATTGGACACAGTCCAAAGCTGTTTTTCACCTGAGACTATATTATATTCAGCTGGGACTATATTATATTCACCTGGGACTATATTATATTCAGCTGGGACTATGATTATGTCAGAGTGTTGGAAAGGATATACATCATTGCAGGATAATCCCAATTCTATTCATCTGACTGTAAATCACTGTATGAATTTCGTTGACACAGAAACATCAGCTTACACGTAAATAATCAAAAGTACCTGGCGGAATGACAAAATGAAGAATAATTTTCATCTTCGGAACTCTTCGCAGCATGATAGACTCTTATTTGTGTGAGTTCCTTTGGAGACCTAAGGTAAAAAATAACAATGAATGCAAATTTGAAAGGATATTTCTGAATTTTTGTGTAAGTTTTAGTAAATATAAATTCTTTTTAATTTGTGCCGAATTAATATTTTGCGGTAAATTAACAGAAAAGATCCTTTTTTAATTATTGACCGGAAAACACCTGGAATCAAATGAAATATTTTTTAAATAAAGTTTGGTTGAGTCTCTGCTATTTCCTAAGAAATAAAAGGATTTATCTTATAAACAACATTAATACTTAAAAACTTAACTGTGGTGCAATATAATAAATTAAACAAAGATAGCAATATATCGCGTGTTTTTTTTTTTTTTGTTTTTTTTTGTTTTTTGGGTTGTTTTTTTATTTTTGGGTTTTTTTTCCTGATCAGAGAACAGGTCCTTGTGTTTCATTAATCTTCCTTGACATTAAGTTCAGATTGACTACGTGAATAGAATTAGAAGTTCTTCCTTATTTAACATTATTATTTTATACTAATATTTTAATTTATTATAGGAAATGATGCAATTTCCTCGTCAAAGAAGGTTCGAGAAAAATCGGATGAACTTTGGTGCAATTCTTAATATATAGAAAAACGCCTACGCACGTTTTCTTAAAAATAAAAAAATAAAACTCTCGACCACATTTTTTGACCAATCGGGTGTACAAAAAAAAATACGCGGTCAGATCGTAAGAAATTTGTGGAGCTAACATGCGTATGCGTGAGCCCATCAAAACAATATAAAAACGAGAATATTTTCAAACTAATTTAGAACAGTTCACTTGCTCGGCAAGATGAATACAACTGTCTCAACGCAGCACGTCCCTTTGACCGCTGAACGGACAGAGTATCAAATTACGATTCTCAACTTGACGATAATGCTTTTAACGCTACGCGGCTCCAACTCGCAGAAACTTAAAGTAAAACAAAACACGAATGATTCAATTTTTGTTTTCAGATTTTTCCACAAGTTCTTGTGTTGTAAAAGAAAAGGAAATAAAAACTTCTTTATTTTTATAGTACTCGTATAATCGTTTCATTCTGTTAACATGTAACTATGCATTGCAACTATATATTCTTTGTTTAAATTTTGTTTTATCAAAGATTAACCATATTTCCTACAACAATTTTATTATACTTGATGAAAACAACCGCCAAACATCTTAACGTTCTATTTCTTTTTCTTTCTGCGTAAATTGTATCGTAAACTTGAAAAAAAATTATTTTAAGGTTTAAAGTTTATGCAGATGCAAATAAAAACCCGTTTTATACAATTTCTAATATCGTATTCTGAGTCATGAACATGACAATTAGAAAACGAAGAGTAATGACTTATTTATATTATTTACATATTTGCTTATTTACATTCTGACTAATATCTTCCTTTTTGTTTTGGCTATTGTGCCCTCCGACTTTATTCAGGCGTCTGTTGGTCTTTATAACTTTCAGGGAATTTTAAACAGAACACTTTATTTAATCTACGGGGATAGATTGCTCTCTTTCTGCTGTCCGTGTTTAGGGGAGATAACTCGTCTTGTTCTTTTTAGTACTGCCTAGTTATTACACACACCCTAGTTACACCGAATTTCAGTCTCTACTACCCGAGATTGAAATCATAATTACTATACCACCAGATTCATGAACCAACATTTTAATCCACATTGGCCATGTATATACAATTTATCGCCAGCTCACGTCAGTGTAATAAAAATATAGAAGAAACAATATTTTTAGCATCATTGGATAAAAAAGCTTTACAGATGCATGATTAGATTACGTATTGCGACGTCTGTAACTTGCATATATAAAAATATGAAACAATTTCACTTCTGAGCAGAAACAGCGATTTAAAAATGTATTTTGTTCTAATTAATGAACCTCACAACAATAATGCCGCTTTTCTGTAAATTTATTACTGCATATATTTTATAGCAAGCACTTATACTTACAGACATATCAAGTTGAAACACCGTTTCTCGTAAGATCACCAAAGTTAAGCAACGTCAAGCTTGATCAGTACCTGGATAGGTGACCGCTTCGGAATACTAAGTGCTGTAAGTTTGGATGTGCGAATGGTGTAATGGATAACTGCTCGGAATTGGAAATCGGACAGCCGAGTTCCAGTTCCAGAAGGGTTCATTATATTCACTTACGTGCAAATAACTTTAGAAAAGGTATGAATCCACCTCCTTTCCCCACCAGCTATGGGTTAATTAGTAGGACTTGTATCAGTAAACTGCTCTTACCTCCCTCCCCACAAAAAATTCTTACAATTTAAAATTATTTTCTGGCTTTAAATAACCTGCAAAAGGTTGATAAGTCGTAATAAACAAAATCAATCAAATCAATACCAAGTACTTATAAGTGCAGTTTTCTTCTCTTTTTTTTTAATGCCATTTCTCTTTAAGACGCAAGCAATCATGATTCCTCACACCTCTTTTCTTTAATATGTGTAAATCACAGTGACTTCTTGAGAAAGATAGTGGAATGTTAAATTTAAGTTAACGAGTGATGTGGCGTTATCACCGAAACTTTACCTACGGATAGTGAGTTCAAATGCTTAAACACCAAACTTATTTTTCCTTACGACCGGAAATGTTTATTTTGACTCTGCAGAGAATAATTAAGTCTTCGAAGGAGAAAATAGTGGTAAAGTCAACTTACACTTATAAGAAATGTTGAAAATTTGTATACATTCTTTTTAAAAATGTTTTATTGTCATGCTCTTCGTTAGGTAGGCGATCAGGACTCTCCACAGATTTCCTTTCTTTATTATTTATGAACTGTCATGCATTCTTGGGGAAAATATGGAATGCTTACCCGTCGCCGTCGCCACTGTTTTGAATTAAGTATTGCCCTCCTTCTTGACTGATTGCTACTCATGGCTGAAAAACTCACTCTATCTTTCAATTTAACCCATAGCTGTGGTTGGGAAGAAGAGGTAGATTCATACCTTTCCCAAGGGTGCGATGTGAATGCAACAGACTGTGTCTTATTTAACTTTCCGCGCCGATAACCGTTACACTGTCTGCACGTATCGATGAGTGCAGTAAAAAAAAAGCATTAATTTTTTAACGTTATTGAAAAATCTTTATAGATGTATGAATGCTTACTACAACATCTACAAGTTGTATATATATATATATATATATATATATATTTTCAAACAATTCCTCTTTAAAGCTTAGCTTTTAAATAGATACAGTGACTTAAAAAGATGTTTTAGACTATTTCAATTGTGTTCTGAGTGATGAACTTCACAACATGAAAACGAAGAGTAATGATTATTTTTTTGTAAATTTATTGCTTATCATAAACTATTTATCGCTTATAATAAACTGTCATGATTGCAGGAAGAAAATATAAGAGAAATAATGTTTCTTTGTATTCTTTGTTATAAATGTCAGTTTAAAATGTCGGCAATGTTTAACCTTCGTGTCGGAAATAAACACAGTGCGGCAAAAGGATGAGTATTCCATTGACACCGCTATTACTGTATACATTTTTGACTCCCTCGGTAATGTTTATTTTCAAGATTATAAAAATATGTGAACCAAATACGATACGATATCTATTATTTACCAGTTTTATAAAGAAATCTCTTAATTAAAAAAATTATTAAAATATGTAAACGAATTATAATGCAACTAGAATTACCCGCGAAAATGTCACGGTTTTCCTAGTTAAATTTTCTGATGACATCAAAATATTTTTACAAATTTTCTTTAAACTTAATAACTCAAATTTTGATGTGTTCCTCTCGAATTTTAAAATTCGAGAGGAACACATCAAAATTCAGTGAAATCATATGCCGTAGAGAAGCTCGGTGGAAGTGTCATTGGCATGAGGAGCATTATAGATTCAGCTCGCTTCAGGTGAGTTTCAATTACTTTCCAGTAATTTCCTTCCTCAAAAACGAAGGATTTACGGACATATGTTTATATGAACTTTTGTCCTTGTTTTGGTTTGAGTAACTCGCCCCCAAAGTTTGTAAAAGTATTTTGATATACACTGTATATAGCTAACCACACGCTTATAAATGCCTGCGCTACAGATAGCGCAGTTATCTCTGTTAGTGCTACATTTCGATTCAGCGAGTTGCACGATCGATACAGTTTAGACATACCTATAGGGGCTTAGGTACAGGTCTGGATCTCTGCCTACTATAGGAAGCGGATCGACAATATCCAGGTGAACTATTTGGAAGCGAGGTGGATATCAGATTTCGTGTATTTGTGAACTTTAGACTGTTGACAAACAACACATTCTGCACAGAACTGCTTAATAGTTTCGTCCATGTTTGGCCAAAAGTACGTGGATTTTATTAATTTTGAAGACGCACTAATTCCTGGATGTGCTTAAGAATATAGACTACTGAAAACAGCTTTTCGGAGATGCTCAGGGATAAATGGTCTAGGGTACATAGTGGAAGTGTCACATAGGACTGAGCCACTTCCGTTCGACACTGGGTATTCTTTTTAAGTTCGGGTATGATTTCATCGTCAGTTGTTTTTTGCTTGCACTATCACTGGCAAGTCTAAGGCATCTATCTGCACTGCTAATGCAAATCTGGACATTCAGTCTGGAATTTCGTTCCCTTTTTATATGTGCTACATTAGCAAAATATTCATCAAGTACCGACAGGTGTTGCTGGCGATCCTATTTCGTAGCAGCTTGGTTTTAGAAGGCTCATAACATAACGGTTCATTGTCAGTGAATAAAACTACGTGATGAACCATCTATGGGGTGGCGAAAGTGAATCACTGCCAAAGAAGCTGCTCTATCGAATATGGAATATTTTGTTTAGGCTTGAGATAATTTCTTCGAAGAAAAATCCTATCGGTACTGATTTATTACTGGTGCAATGCAGCTCTGGCTGCATATTGACTACTGTCAGTGACTAATTGATAGTCTGTGGCTAAAGTTTGTGGGTGGCCTAATGCCGTAATGTCTGACAACTTTTGCATTATTTCTTTAAAGGATTCTGTTTCTTTTTCTGCCAGCACAAATGCTGATTTTAGGTATAACCTGATGCGGTCGAGGTATAATTAGGGATTAACGTGCGATAGAAAACTGTCATGGCCCTAAATCTGAGCAAGTTCTTTGAATCTTTAGGAGCTGGGAAAATCTAATTCTTTAATCTTATTGCTAATGGGCAATACACTTTCTTTACTTAAATTAAATCACATAAAGTCTAGATTTGACACGTTGAATGTACACTCGGCCAATGAAATTTTACGGTTATTTTCGTGTAGTATATTAAATACTGCATCCAAGTATTTCTTATACTGAAGTTCTTTATCGCTAAAAACTAAAATATCATCTAATACAATCTGTGTTTGAAATATTTTATTCATGTAGCACTGAAATGTAGAAGTTGCATTCTTTAAACCGAATGGCATATGGTAAAATTCGAACAAATCGAATGGGGTTGTTACTGCTGTTTTAGCTACATCATCTGGGTGTACTTTTGTCTGGTAATAAGTAGCAGTTAAATCTATTTTAGACAAATAGCATTTGTTCGCTGATTGTGCATTAAAAGAATTTATATTGGAAATTGGTAATACTATCAAGGCTTCGGAAATCGCTAGAATCTCGATACGAACCCTTCGATTTCAATACCATCTGAAGAAATGATCACTGGCTACACGAAAGACGTATTACTCCTGTATTTACGAATCTCTTGAATTCCGCCTGTGTGGCTTCTAATTTCTGCCCTGAAAGTTGTCGAGATTTAGTGAACACAGGAGCATGGCTCTCTGTGTCTGTTCTATGGTAGACTCCGCTGTTTTCTTTGTAATCTTTGTTGAAATTATACTACGGTATTATCCATCAATTTTTGTACGGAACTAAGCAAATCGAACACATTTATTTCCAAGTTAGCTGAACTCGTCGCTTCGTAACTGTATCTCTTGCCGCCCTACTTCAGTATCTTGTCTACTTATCGCTATTTCTCTGAATCTGATTTCTTGTTCGATACGTGCCGTTTCTAATTCTGTCCTAACTTCTATTTTGGCTTCCACTAGCTCCATTTCTGCCAGTGTCATTTCCCGCACATCTGCCGGTAATTGATTTAGTATTTCCTCTTCCGATATGTCATCATCGACCATGTGCTCAACTATTACTCTCACTAAGCTTGCCTTTCTCATTGCCTTTCTAATACCAATTTCTAAGTGTTTCCCTATTTCTAGCATACCGTATTTTCGCAATTTGTTTTGTTGGTCTAGGAATGGTTCTCTTAGAAAAGATTCTACAACTGTCATCGTATTTTATTATCTGTTCGTCACTATTGGTCTAAACGTGTATTTTCCCTGATAGTGAATATCAGATGAGCCCCCAATTTATGTTACGGACTGTTGTCCTCATCTTTGTGGTTGTTTTTTTGTTTTGTTTTGTTTTGTTTTTTTAAGCAAATCACCCCAAGCAAGGCGGGAGTGCCACTAGAACGCAAGGGGTTACAGAGAGTGAGAGTAAGAGTAAAAAGGAGTGTTTGAGAAAAGTATAGAAAGACAGGGATCAAGGTCACGGCATCAGATGTCGATTGACATTACATTACCATATACACGACGTTTCGGCAGTTGTACGGCCTGGCCTTTTTCATGTGATTGGAATTTCGAACTGGACCCTTTATTTCGTCCACCAGGGTAGCTTGTTCTAGATCTCCCTTTAACTCAACTCTCCACGTTTTTGTTCGCCACTGCAGTAGTCAAGTATTGAACTCACAACTTCTGGGACCAAATCACTGCCGCAACATAAAATTTAAAAGAAAAGCTAAAAAAAATCAAACTTGTTGTCAAAGGATATGACTAAGGTTTACTATTCCGTAGTGGACAGATTTTTTTAAAGGGTCAAATATACGGATGAGGGAAACACCCAACAGTAACAAACAACAAACGCCAATGTATAATCTTATAAGATTTAATTATCACAAGACAATACATGAAAACAGAAATGCAAGGTAGTTCTATTCTGTGTGGAAAGATGTATGCGCGTTATATATCTGATATGAATAGATGGATGCGTTATATATCTGATATGAATAGATGGATGCGTTATAT